TTCAAACAGTTACAATGAAAATTAGTGGATAACTGGAATAACAAATATTTTCTGTTTCACCGTGAACTAATCGATAGAATTCTTAAAACCTGTGGAAAATAAACACATACTAAGGGGTTACAACCAATGCACACATATATTTTGGTGTGTAAATTCTCATGGAATGCTCCTATCACATGTACGGTCAAGTTATGTTACCACATTATTGAAGTGCTGTCCTCGATGTTGTCACTCAGAAGCAAGGCTTAAGATTCTCGATCCAAAGAGTTGCTCGCCGAATCCTGTGGGAAGGGAGAGGGATTGACAAGTCAATGATGATTCCCAGGGGGGATAGCACAGCTCTTTGCCGAACATTTTATAAAGCTTGAGGTAATCAAACTGTTACGTTCTTCCAAATGGTTGATTTTTATGTGTTTCAGATATTACGTTGAATTTCGTGTGCATAACTGAAACATTATCTGGCAATCCTGTGTTTATGTTATTACTCGCTAATGACCAACAGTAGGGTATCATAGTACCTGACCCTTTTTGGGCAGAAAACTCATAACTCTCTGAGCGCACTTCGAAAAATGTAAAAATATTTAATACTTGGAGCTTTTGTGCTAATGAAATTCATCTGCAGATAGATCCTCCCGTAATAAATCGACGTCACTAGACAAAATTTATTGTATAAATTCATACGTATGTTATTCACAAATTTCAAACACACAAAGAGCATCGAAATGTCTTTCGGGAAACGGGGTAAATCCACGCCTTGCCATACCAGAACAAAACGCAAAGGAGCAGTAAAATAATATGGCAAGAAAACATTGCTGAATGAAAGTCCAAAACCCTAACTGGCCAGTGCGGAATTGACACCATCTTATATTGAGGAAAATTTATCTAACTTTACCAGCAGCAGTCTAATTAGGTACAGACTAATGAATATTACTTTCAAGAATTACATCTAAATTCATTAATATCAACCTCTTAACACCCACACTATCAGAGGAAAGCAGGATACGGTTTCGGGTAAAGACAAGCCGGAAACATATTTCACGGTTACGGTCAAGACTGAATGGCATTATAAACCTCAAACTGACTTCGATTAGAAAACCGGACGATAATATCATCAAACTAACTATAATAAGCAACAAAGGTATTAACAGATGAGTTATGGCATGAAATTGTTGAGATTGTTGAGTTACGCCAATGACTCTCTTTTGCCCAATGTACCATACCGATTTCATTGAAAGATCTGATTGTCAAACCTTTCAAGAATTGAGAGAGACTGCTAAATTAATGAAATTTGTTATGCCCGAGGAAAAGAATGCTGAGTGAAAAGCTTAGGAACAATTGATGGAATCACAGTATGCCTATTTTGATTTGTAATCTGGGGACTTAAAGCCAAGGTCACCTAAAGAGGAAAGTTTTCAGTTTTCACATGATTTTACCTCCGAAAATTCCCCAGCTTTAGTGTAAGCGTGCAGGAAAACTTTTAAAAATATTCAGAAAGTACCGGTGCGAACATTTTCAGCGCAGCTTTTTGGGGGCATATTGAATTAGAACAAAATGCAACTGTTATGTGCTTTTCATGCTTTCCCACTCGTCCGAATATCAAGTTGACATTTTAGTTCCGCTTATTTTCATGAAAAATTGCAGAATGCGGACTGGTTTCAGCAGTACACATGGGCTCTATTCAAAGCCATGTCACATATGCTTTCTATCGGTTACGGACGTTTCCCACCAATCAGTATAGGGGATGCTTGGATCACGATCGTGAGCATGATGAGCGGAGCCACGTGTTACGCCCTGTTCGTGGGTCATGCGGCCGCTCTCATTCAATCGTTCGATACATCAAAACGGCTCTATCGAGAAAAGGTAACGGATCAATCAATTCTAATCTATTTGTCTTTGTTTTGCGTTTTTCTACGATGTGATGTGTGTGCGTGTCAGTATATATTAGATAGTTTGCTGATAACAGCTTTCATTCTACTCCCGGCAAGTAAGTGAGTATATTGTAGGCGTGTCATATGTTGTGATTCGTAAATCGCGTTCTCAGATTACGGATTTAATTCCTAGTCCCGAAGAGAAAAATTGAAAAAGGATTTCCAGAGGCTCTATGTACTGTCACCATGGGCAAATATTCCTCTTATCAATGAAATCCTTTCGATTGAGCGGTTCCATCGCTGATCGTTTTCGTGCAATCCAACGAAATCAAAATAAGTTAATGTTTGAAGTAAGGGAAATCTTGAGGTAGGTGAAGGAAAACTACTACCTCTACTGTATAACTCGTCACGATGGAAAGATCGATCATTCATGGTTTTTAGACACAATAATGCCTCTCTGATAGAAGGGATCAATCAGAAGATTGTCCCCCCGGAGAAAAAAATGGTACAGATAAGTGTCGCATTTCACGAGCTTCTTCTTTTCCCTGATATGTACTATAAAATTCGTTTTGTTCGCAAATGATTTTCCACAGTGCGTGATATACGCATAGAATACTGAGTGAATGTAGTAGGAAAACACTTAAAAAAGACATTACACTTCAATGAATATCCTGTCGTGTTCATTCATAGACATTCAAAAACCAAGGCCAATTAAGAGGAGAAATCTGTTATCATGAAAGCGCACGTTGTCTAATGAATACGTGAATCCGATTAGTTTGCAAGCACTTAAATTGTGATATTAGATGCGGAAACTAGTATTTAGTTGACTTACTCAGAGTTCCCTTCCCAACCGAATTGAAAAGCCTGATGAAAAGAACCGTACTCCCCCCTCTCGTATCCAGCTGTCATTTAATTCAAAAGTTCACTGTCAGCAATTTATGTAGGCGAGATGGGGAGGCGGGTATAACACCGAATTTCCTAACACATCTTGGTATGGCTGAGATAGAAGCTGCAAAATAACTCTACGAGTCGTACGTCATCGACCGGCCAGGCAAGAATCATTATATTAAAAAGATATCAAGAGAAAGACACATGTTTTACCTCAAAATGAACCCGCTTCGTTTTCTACAACATCCATAAAAGCAGCAGAATACTCTATTAGGTGAGAACGATAAACACCATCTATACAAACAGCTCAAACGGCTTGTAGCACTAGCCTTGTCTTAGTTTTCGAACCCCACCCCTCTCATGCTTATGTTATTCACCATCATTAGCCACCTTGTCGTCAATTTGTTTTCTTTATTCCACGGAACGTGCAACTCAGTCCGATCGAATCACGGACGTATAAGGATACAGAACGGTAATCCTGATGTTTGCTGCGTAACCAATTGGTGGTTTTTTCGAAGATTCTGCGGGGGAGTCAGTGTGTTCAGTTCTCTTTAACTATATCGGGCACCAAATAAATTATTAAAGACTGAAAGGATTTATTAATCACAGCCTTTTACGTGAGCGGTATAATACCTTCAACCATTAGAAAATTCCTTGGGAATTTGGGAGGAATAGGATGGAGAGTTGAAAAGCTCTCGACGAATTCGTCGTCTAATCAAATTCAGTCTGTCACGCTTCTCATATAACAAGTAGTC